CGAGCTAGTGTCTTTCGAGCTCATGGGTTTCGAGCTGATGTCTTTCGAGCTCGTGTCTTTCGAGATTTTGACTTTCGAGCTAGTGTCTTTCGAGCTCATGTCTTTCGAGCTCATGTCTACGTCCCACATAAAAGCTTCTACGATATACAACTACAGTATTGACTCAATACCAGTGAGCATGACTACAGTTATAGTAAATAAAACTATAAATAAGCCAAGATGCAAACTAAGTTGGTTTAAAATTTAATCACTTTTTAGTTTATAAGATTATAGTTTGTGATCACAATTGCTAAACACTTAATTATTAGTTGTAATAATGGAAGTGACGGCCACTGAATACGAAAGGATGTCTACCGGCGCTCAGGAAAACGCCCGACAATTGGTCGACAAAATAGTGGCCGACAAAAGGTTTTCATTAAATTGTTTCATTTTATATGCATTTAAGTAGTAATATAATTACGTGTTAATTTAACCATAATTAACATTTTATAAGTATGAAAGAATAGTATTTTGTCAATAAAACAATTATTTAAGAATATCTTATTTATTTTAATCCATTATGAACTGTTCAGTAAAATATGTGATTTAGTATTGAAATATGGTATAAACTTGTAAGTTTTATTACTTAATGTTGCTGTTAAATGTTAGGCAGCTATTTTAAATATTATTTACTTATTAATTTAATACTACTTATGGGTGGTCGCACCATGTAACTATTATATTATGTTTGTACTAATAATAATTGTAAAATGTTAACACAATAAATGTTATAAATGACAGACATTATGACATAATATTGGACATCGGGTGCGGAACCGGTTATATGACTGAACTGTTGGCCAAAACCGTAAAACACAACCGCATTATTGGTGTCGATATTACCGAACATTTCCTGTCGTTTGCCGAACAGAACCACAAACCCATGGATTCCGTCGAGTATTTGCTTCAAGACTTCAGCAAAACATGGGATGAAATGAGTCCCGCGTTGAAGGCATTGGAGTCTAAGGTATCGCTAATCGTAAGCAACAGAGCCTTACATTTCTTCGAAGACAGGCCGAGACTAATGCATGTCATTAGCCGACTGTTGGCCAAAAACGGGACACTTGTGGCCACATATCCGCTGACACCGGATCTCATGTCTCGCATAACCGATGAGGAGAAGCGTGCGTTTGGTTTGCAAACCTTTGCCACCCCTTCGCCCGACGCACAGATTGACGCTATGGTGAGGGCGTGTGAGAGCACCGGATTTAAAGTGCTGGACAAACAACAGTATCTCTACGAGTGGCACGTCAATGCTAAAATTTTCGTTGACAGTAAGTTACTGTGATAAACATTGATCATGCAATAAATACAATCATATACTGTATATTATTGTGATTTTATTAATAATTATTAATTAATTGATATGATATAAAAACATAACTCATAAGGTATCTACTTTTAATTTTACTTACATTCTAACCATGATATAATTTGAGTATAACAATAATTGTATTCACCTAGGGAAGAAATTTCCGCCGATATTCGGGCCGTTATTATCAACTGATAGCGAAGCAAAACAAGCGCTCATTCAAAACCTATTCTTTGATGTGGCACTCAATCCAAACGCCCAGCGCTTAAATGTCAACGCGATTGCAGAGCTCGGCTCCCCTCCAACCCTGCAAACTATATTCCACATACCCTTGGTCAATTTTAAATGCATTAAACAATGATGAATTACAGTTACTAAATCTACATTTATAGTTTTGTGCATTTCTGACTTTATCTGAATTTGTTATTTAGTTTATTTTTGTAGTAAAGAAACAGTAGTTATATAATTTATACTAGTTAAAACTTATAAAATTAAATAAAAATTAAATTTAAACTACACACAACTAAAAGCTGAAATGTATAACGTAAAACAAACAATAAAGTTTTTAAAAAATGTAAAAAAAAGTGTACGACACCGGGTATTCCCAGGTGGTCTCCCTCCCAAGTACTAACCCGGCCCAACGCTGCTTAACTTCGGTGATCGAACGAGAACCGGTGCTT